CCACCACCACCAGGTGCAGCAAGACTAATTGGAGCAAAAAATGCCATTTGTGGACCACCACCATATTTGCCGGAAAAAGGCATCGGCATTGGTGGTGGCGCTGCAAAACCAGCAAATGATGGTAATGCACCATATTTACCACCAGTTCCCCCGCCACCGAAACTACCAAAATTAGTTGATCCAATAAAACCACCACCACCACCACCATTCAATGGTACAGGTGATGGAACAAAACTAGCAAATCCTATTGGTGCTGCATTAAAACCATTTGCACCAATAAATCCACCTGTAGCAGGTGCTAATGGAATACCACCACCATTACCATTTTGTGGAATCATTTGTGGTTGAGGTGATGGGCTACCATATCCACCACCATATGATGGTTGACTACGTGCAACTAATGTTTGAATATTTTCTTCAACTGGCCGTACTTCTTGTCGTATAGTACGCATTGGTGTTATTACTTCATGAATTTCCTGTACAATTGGTTTATGTACAGTATGCCGTAATATATGTGGTTGATCTTCTGAATGTGATTCTTGTACACTACCTTGTGATTGTACATGTTGATGTTTAACATTCATTGGTGATGAATATGTACGAAACATCATTGTCATTGGTACGGATTGTGATTCAACCATTACCTGATATGGTTGTGCTTGTGTTTGTACACTTGGTATATCATAATATTGAACATTTTGTTGACTACGTACAGCTAATGATACTGGTCCAATTGGTTGTGGTGTTGGTGCCGATAATTGTATTGGTTGAATCATTTGATATTGATGATTTGGTGTAGCCATTGCTTGAAATGTAGCTTGATTATAATTAGGTGAAGCAGCGGTAGCAAATGAACGGCCACCATTTCCATAATTACCAGCTTGAACAGTGGTGATGATAACAGTGATCAACAATGAAATCTGATCATTTTTGATGTTAAGAAAAAAATGTTTGAAAAACACACGGCAAACAAGAATTCAAACTTACCGATCGATAAAACATTTTTTTGCAGAATTTCAAAGTAAAAATTCGTTGATGGATTTGTCGTTTTCGTTGTTGTTGTTGTTGTTATTATTATTTATGGTGTCATCCTAATCATTTGATTTCAAAGACCTTTTTATATATGGGAAAAAAATTTCTGTTTCTGGAACAAATTTTTTTCACTAATTATTTTATTTTTTGAAGAAAGAAAAAAAGAGTATTTTTTGTTCCAAAAGCTTCTTTGCTGGAACAATATTGGGTCATTATAGCTTTGGAACAAACAAATAGATGGACCATCATCTATATCAGAAATCAAGAAAAATTTCTTTCCGATCAAAATCTACACACATCATCATTATATTATTCTGATTTAATCTTTGTCTTAAAGTCAAAGATATTTATGCAAAAAAATATAATGTGACAAACGAAACTAAATCAAAAACCAATGTGAAGAATGAACAAGAGGGGACACGGTCTTTATCATAACCGTTTCATCATCATCATCATCATCAATGATGATCACAATCAAAAATCAATTTAAATTTTTTTCTGATTTCGGTTTCAAGGTTCATCATCATATGATTCAGGCCACAATATAATCATTGATAAACAAATTGACAACAACAAGGTTTTATCATTAGAAGAAAAAAATGGTTTGTTTTACATTAAAACAAACAAACATGGAAAGAGAGTCATCATTAAGATCGAATCAGTGATCAATGATAATCGACCATTTTAAACGACAAAATTACAACATTATTCATGGTTCAAATTTTTGATTCACCTTTTTTTTGTTTGTTGAAATGATGTTTGGACTCGTTTTGTTTTGGCGTTATCAGAAAAATTCCATCACAATAAAAAATTCAGATTCATTTTTTCAGATAAAAATTGCTTGATTGGTTAATCAAAAAAGTAAAAAATTTTTCTGTTTAAATAAAAAATGATATTTTATTCGCAAAAATTTTTTGGGTCTGTTTTTTTCATTATTTTACACAAGGTTTATTGTTAGTTTTGAAAACACGTGCTATGTATTTATATTTTATGAAAAATTTGATTCTACCAAACAAACAAAAAGATAATACAAACTGCACACACACACTTATATTTTTGTTTGAATAAAGATGCCAAAAAAAAGCTAAAAATAAAAACAGGAAATAACTAATAATGGAAAATAATATACCTGCTGAATGTTAACAGAAAAATAATTGAAAATAAATGGCTACTATAATTAGAAATTGATTTTATCATTATTAAACTTGATGATGCTGATGATAATGAGAAGGAACTTGTCAATGATTCGTATTGAGCATCATCATTATTTTCATTTTGTTTATTATCGATTAAATGGGCAACTATTGGTGGATTTTTTCCAGATTCTGTAATCATTGATTTTGTTTGATCAACAATACCTGTAGCTTGTATTGTTGATTGTCGAATACGATGTTTAGCTAATTCTTCATCACTATAACCAATACGTAAATAGGCCATCATTTCAATTTCAAATACTTTATTTGGATCTTTTGGCATTTCCATTGGTAATGATCGTTTTCGACGACGACGACGACGACCAAGTGCATATATTCCATTACCACAAGGTGTTTCTTGACATTTATCCAGACAAACATTAACCGTACCGATAAACATAACATAATTTGATTCAGGAAATTTAAATGCACGAAATTTTGCCGATATTGAATCACCACCATCATTTGATTCAAAATTACCAAAAATATATGGATCAATTGAACAACCATTCAATACAATTACTTCTTGTTGACGATTAGTATTATCTGTTACTTTCATAAAACTAGCCAATAAACCATAAACATGTTTCGATTCATCATCCAAATAAATAATCATTTCTAATGGTGTACCCGGTGCAACATTTAATGATTGATTAACAAATTTACCATTACGTTTAACTTTAAGATTCAGGTGTGGATATGGTGCACGAGCTGTAATATTATCGGTAAAATCCAATACTCTGTAAACAAAAAACAGAATAAATAGAATAAATCTTTTCAACAAAAAAAAACATTACATACTCAGCTTCCATAAAATTTTCGGGTAAATCAATTTCGGTAAAATTTACCAAACGACCACTTGAATCTTCAATCCAAGAAGATGTTGTTTCACGTTTAATTCGTTCAGTTTTATTAAGAATTAGATCATCATCATCATCATCTAATGGACTAGTTTCAACTTTAAATCCAAGTAATCGATCAATATTTGGCTGTGAACATTTGAAATAGATTGATCGTTGTTGTTGTTGTTGTTGTCCATTAATGCTATTTCTATGTTGTTTTGTTTCAACAACAATTCGATTATAATATATACGTGTACCGGTAATTTGATCATGAATTTTTGTTGTACCACAACGATAAAAATCATCCTGTAATGATAATACAAATGTTGCCATAAATTTTTCCATTTTAGGTCGACAAACTATTTTTTTTTGTGAAAAATAAAAAATTTTATTAAATTAAATTAAAAAGTTTATCCATTGAAAACTTTACTTGAAAATGAACGAAGTTTTTCCAGATAAACATATGGTTCATCATCATCGTCATTGGACATTTGGCCATCAGTATATAATGATGAAAGATTCACCTGTATTATCATTGAATCCATTGAACAATTTAAACGATATGGTACTGTTGATGGTAGAATAGTTTATTGGGAGAAGGGAAAATAAACAAAACGAAAAAAAATGAAATTCATATTAGTAATTTGCCATTCGTGAATAATAGAAAAAAAATCAATTTCCATTTCAAATGCAATGCATCATCATCATCATAATGATAGTCATTAGGATTCTATAGAGAAAAAACAAAACAAAAAAAATGAAACATTCTTCTTCTTCTGATGATGATGATTATTGTAAATGTGGTTTTCTCTGGCTGGGTTTGGAATAAATTTCTTTATATTTCCAGACAATCACATGGGAGACAGAAAAAATGTTATTTTTTCTTTGTTTCCCATATCATCATCATCATTTTGATCGAAAAAACACGGTTACACAAACAAAACCCATAGTGAAAAAAATGGAAAATGTAAATGTCTTATTTACTTACTAAACTGCAAAAAAAGAAAATAACCAAAAATGATGATGATGATAATAATAATGTCTTGTCTATCATTATTCCATTTTATTGTCAACAACAAAAATATACAGAATATTTTACATTTGTGTGGTGTGTTTAGATTCGATTTCAATTTCAATTTTGAAAAGAATAATAAAAAATTGAATTCAATTGAATTGAATTTGAAAATGGAATTGAAATCAGAGTACAGGATTGGAATAAATGTTTTTCATTTTCTTTTTTTGCATTTCTTTTCGTTGCTGCTTTGAATTTGAATTCAAACACACAAAACGAACGAACGAACGATGATTGAAATCGATTATAATCTATTCTATCTATGAAAATGAAAAAAGAACATTTTTGGGTAATCGATTCAAAATGTGAATGGAAAAAAATGGTTGGACAAAAATTCTTTATTCAAAATTGGATTTGAAAGAAATATAGAAAAACCAAACAGGCCAAAAACATGTTTGGATATAAAAAAAATTCCAAACCGATGAAAATCAATCGATACACAATGATTGATTTGAATCAATCGTCGAAATCTAATCTCCCACCCATATCAAATAGATCAAATTGATAAGTTGATATATCAATTTTCTTGGCGAAAAAAAAGGAGAAACAAAAAATCGATCCAAATAAACAATGGTTAAGTTTTTAAACTGTAAAAAAAAATTTAAAAGAAACAAAAGGCTAAACACAATAATCATTATCCACTTGAGAATTCAACGAAGTAAAAAGCTCTTAAATTTTCTCAACAATATTTTGGCTGAAGAAAAAAACAAAGTTCACGAAGAAACAAAACAAAAAACACACATATCGAAGATATACACTTGAGAAAACGGATAAGAAAAAAGAAAAGGAAAAAAACTTTTAATAAATAAATTAGACCAAGAGAGAGAGAGAGAGAGAGAGAGAGAGAGAGAGAGAGATTGATGCTAAATAAGCGAATGAAAATTTTTCATTTTTGAAAAATTTTAGAAAAATAATCGATAAGAAAAAGAAAGAAGAAAAATCGAGAATCCTANGAAAAAAACTTTTAATAAATAAATTAGACCAAGAGAGAGAGAGAGAGAGAGAGAGAGAGAGAGAGAGAGAGAGATTGATGCTAAATAAGCGAATGAAAATTTTTCATTTTTGAAAAATTTTAGAAAAATAATCGATAAGAAAAAGAAAGAAGAAAAATCGAGAATCCTAGATCGATAAAGCAAAAATATTATTATAAATGGAAATTGAATCGGAAAATTCAAAACAAAACAAAATTCAATGCCTTTCCATAAGAAAAAAGACGAATAAGGAATCGGAATAAGAATAATTCCAATTCTTGTTTTAATTCTCATACATTTCATATATATAAATTTGTCATTCAGTCAACCAAATTTTAATTCATTTCATTTTATTTGTTGTAGCATAATGAAACATAAGAATATTCTTTATGGATGCTTGCTTGTAAAACCAAAGAAAAAGCGGGAGAGAAATGAACAGAACCAGAACACAAAGACAAATGAAAATTGGAAATTATTATTATTATATAATTATTCCATGTGAACATGCGATTCATTCATTTTCATTTTTGTTGATGTTGTCGTTGTTATTGGCTGGTTTCAATTAGGATCAAGATGATTTCTTTTCTTTTTTTCTGGTAATATGGTAATTTATGTTTCCAAGAAGAAAAGAATAAAAAGATTTTTTCCCAGAATTTATACTAAATTCTCAAACAGAATTCACTCTGCCTGTAGTATTCGGTAATATTCTTTATTATTTTTTGTCTAAATTGAAAATGGTAATCACATCATCATAATCATCATCGTTGTCGTTGTTGTAATGCAGAATAATATTTATTTTGGCAATTTTTTTTGAATTGAATTGAAAATGAATAAATTATGAGACATCATTCAGGATTTGGATTCACGAAAAAAACTCTAGCAAAAAAGCAAAAAAAAATGGAAAAAAATTCTGTCAACAACAACAACAATAACGAGAAAATCCCTGAAAATGGAAAATGAATGAAATTAATCCATTCAATCTATTAGCTGTCTTGTTTAACTGAATGAAAAAATGAAAATCTTTTTTTCTGTTTTTGATTTACATGGAGACCAAGGATTGTCAAAATAGAAAGAAAAAAAATGCTAAGATAAACAACTAAGCAAAAAGTCATAAAAAAGATGTATATTCTTGAGAGAAAAGAAAGATATTCTCTGTTGTTTCTCGGAATTTGTTTGTTTTCCATCATCCATAAATGATGATGATGATGATACTCAGTAAATTCTAATAATGATTATGGAACATCATAATTGATGGTTTTTTATCTTCGAGACTTTTCTAGACTTACTAAACTAACTTTCTAAGTAGAAAAAGGGTTTAAATTATGAACCAAAAAGTAAATATTTAAAGAAAAAAGAATACCAACAACAACAACAACATGCACAAGACATGAATGGATTTTATCATCATCAATTTTTTTGTTTTGTTTTGGCCATATAGAATATATGAAAAGCGATAATAATGATAATATTCTTCTGGTACATTAATATCGATAAGTATTATTTATTATTATTATTATTTTTCAAAAAATAAAAATTTTCAAAATAAAATTGATGATATGCTATCAATTTTTTCTTATTCAATATATTCTGCGTTTGTTTATTCAAAAAAAAATTTCCTTTTTGTATGATGAAAATAATAATAATAATACAGTGGTGATTCGTTTAACGGAAAATCTGTTAAAATGAAGATTTAAGTCGACGACTGACGTCTTGGAACCGAAGTTAAATGAGGTACCGCTGTAATAACTTTATGGATTTTATCTATGAATAAACACACTACACACAAACACACTACTAACACTATCATCTAATCTTGGAATAGAAAAAAAAATGAATAAGAAGAAGAAGAAATTGATCGTTTGCGTGTGTATATGATTATTTATACGGAAATGAATTTCGTTTGGACATATAGAGAGAGAATGAAACGAGAAGAGATGGGTATAATAATATGAAAAGAATGAGGTAGATTTCAATGGGAAAAAGATGAAAGAATATTATATGAAGTTCCGAAAAAAAGCAAAAATAAGAATATCATATGTGGACAAATCCAAACAAAACAACAAAACAAAAAGTTTTCTTTTTGGAATCATCAAATGAATTGGAACAAAAAATTGATCCTTTTTTGTTTTGTTTTTGTTGTCCAAAAAATCTTTATTCCAAAATATTTTGGACTCTTTTTCGAAGTTTTTCTGGCCCACAAAAAAATCACTGTCATTGAAAAAAATTGATATGATGATGATGATGAAATTGTCAGTCAAACAATCTACACATCTGGATCGATCCAGCTTGACAATGCAAATATGCACGAAAAAACATCAATCTATTCATTCATTCATCTTATCGAATTCAATTCCAAGAATAAAAAGAGGAAAAAAAACACCCAACATTGTCAACAACATTGTAACACATATGATGATGATCAAATCAGATGAGATAAATGAATGAAATGAATGAATGAAGAAAAATCGATCAACAAACTCCAGAATAAATAAAATAGAGAAAAATAGAGTAAAAGATGTTCATCGTAATCAATCACAAACATGTTTTGTTCGAGAAAAACGAAAAAATTCTTGATATGGATGAATAATTTTCTCTATATAATAGATTCTTGATCATCATCATTAACAGAATTCAACAGAATTAAAATGAATATGTTGATTATTTTTCGTGGAATTTTCATTGAATTCCAGTGAATAAAAAGAAGAAAAACACTTGTATTCACAAATGATGATGAAGTAAAAATTAAAAAAAAATCATTTGACAAATCATTTAGTTTATTTTCGTTTTTTTTTGATTAATGATTTTGTTTTGTTTTTGGCCAAAATACATCTGAAAATGTATGATGATCATCATCATTCAATTCTTTCCAGGAATTTTATCATCATAGAAAGTTTTTCTTCTTTTCTTTCGGAAAGAATCGTGAAACAAAAAATTCAACATGGTTTTTGTTCGGGTCATCATGATGATGATTCAAAAAACATCACAAACATTCATTCACCAAGGAAAACAATTTTCGAAATGGAATTTTTGTTTTTCTATCTGGGTTATTTTTGTTTTATTTCTGGGTATTTGGGTTTTGCAAACGCATCATTTTTCTGTTGGGGACCAACCATAATGACAAAAACTTTTTTTTTGTTTGTTTCAGATTTCCGAATAAACAAAATCGAGGACAAATGGCGGGAAAAAACAAAATAAAAAAGGCAAAACAACAACCGAAAGATCAGTTAATCATTAATTGATTATGTGAAATTCACTCGGTCAATCAGTCAATCGATCAATAACAACAACAACAACAACAAAAAAACAAAAAACAAAATTGATATATGGTACCTTGTAATGAAAATTGTGGATAAAGTAAAAAGAAAAAAAAAACATTATAAATTGACAATTCACGATAATAATTTATCATTGCCAATACGAAGAAATTGAAAGTAAAAAATATAAAAAAAAAATCAATTTGGTTTGTCTGGTTCGATCATCTCGATATATCACACAGAAGGAAATAACAAAGAACGATCAGCTCGAACATCGATCGATACTATCGATAATCGAATCAATAATAAAAATTGTGAAAAAACGAAAAATAAAAAATAAATCCCGAACAAACAAACAGGAACAACAACAACAACAACAAAAAGTGGGGGTCGTAAACAAATGTCGTTTTGGATTTTGGCTGTTGTCGTTGTTTCTGTTTATTTCATTTATGGTTCATGAAACACAACAAAAAAAAAGAATGAGAAAAACTAAAAGAATAATGGAATCAAAAGAAAGAATCACACAGAAAAAAAAGAATCCAAATCTAATATTTTATTTTTCACAAACGAAAATAGAAAGAATTGAAAGAAATGTTAAAGTTGGTTGGCAATTCTTCTTCTTCTTCTACTACCATCATCATCATGATTTCAAATCAAAGATTTTTGTTTTTTTTTCGATTTCATTTCGTTGATTCTTACGGATCGTTTGCGTTTTGTTGTTGTTGTTTTCTTTCTTTCTTTTTTCAAATCGAAATTTTAAAATTGTTTTTTTTAGTTCTGTTTGCCATCTCAATATTTCATTTCCAATGATGATGATGAGGAAATAATACCGAAAGAAGAAATGTCAGAAAAAAAATCGAAAATCAAAATAGATTACACATCGGTGCAAATGGAAATTTCATTGATAAATTTATATTCATTCAAGCAAGAGAAAATCGTAAAATCGAAAGGATAAAAAATCTTAAAAAACCAAATGACTGTACGTGCGTGCTTTCGTATGGATCGTAGAATCATATCATTTTGCTTTTGAAAAAAAGAAGATTCTTTTTAATTCTGGTCGAAACACATCAACCAAGCTAAACGCAGCAGGATTGCAATGACCATAATGTTATTGACAACAAAACCAGAACAAAATTATTAGCTATTTCTAAGCTTTGGAAAAAAATGAAAATTTCAAGAAAAATTTCTTCTTTTTTTTTCTTCGATAACAAATCTAATAAAAAATAGAAACTGTTGCCGAATTACATAATCAAATGACCAGATGTAATCGATGTAAATAGTCGTAATCAATCGCTATCATCATCATCACCATCATCATTAGGATTTTCAATGTTGCAAACGGACGATTAACACCAATAGACCAAGAATATTCTGTATAATATTTTCAGACTCAAAATAACTTTAATTCATTTATTACAGAGATTTTTTTTTGTTGGTTGTCAAATGTATATCGACTGTATAATCAATGGAAAATCAATTTTCAATTTAGAAAATGAAAATCCCTAAATGGGAATATTTTATCTCTGTATTGGATGTCAATGAACACAAGACAAAAATTAAACATTTTTGACATTCAATAAATGAAAAAAAAATCGATATCTAATCTAATCAGATCAGATCATGGCTAAATATTTTCCCAATGTTTCCTTGAGCGTAATTTCTATCTATTCTCAAGAGATCAATTTTCATTCTAAATATAATCAAATTTTCTTAGCAAACAACAATATTGTGTATTGATTAAATCATCATCATCATCATCATTAATCGATCAATCAATCAATGAATGAAATTGGATTAATTTAGATTGGATTTCAAGAAGCCAAACAAAACAAAATATAAATGACACGACCTAAGGGTTGAAAAAAACCAGGAACAAATTCTGAACATTTGAAATTGATGATGACAGCAACTACATATCTAAAGAGACAAGTGGTGACTATCGATTCTATCGATTCTATCGTTCAATTGATGATCAAAAAAAGTCAAAAAAAACAACAACGAAAAAGAAGAAGAAGAAGAAGTAACGAATTTTCTTGAATAGAATCAGGAAATCATTTCGTTTATATTTGTTGATTATCAACCAAACCAACAATAACGATGATGATGATTCTTATCAAGAAAACGTGTCATCACGTATGTTGACCGATATTAAAAGCAAAACAACAAAAGAATTTCATCTTGTTTATTTGACACACAAGATGAGAAAAAATAAAACTAAACATGATCAGAATCCAATAAATATTTTCATTTTTGTTAAGGAAGATATCCGAGAGAGAGAGAAAAAATATATTCTTCTTCTTCTTCCACATTTTTTATCTAATAATAAAATTATCGAATAAAGAACGAAAATGAGAAAAAGACAAAAAACAATAGGAAATTCAATACAAGGCCGGTAGTTTTTGATTTCAATTTTTGTTTTTTTGTTGTTGTTGTTTGCCATCTTGATTTTATTATCAAAAAACCAAAGAAAAAAAATCGTTCCAAATGGAACCATCATGATGATCCCTAGTGATAGTGGAAACAAGTTTTTTTCTTTTGTTTATATTCTTTATTTTGATAAATCAAGATTTTAGGGAACAAAAAATTCAATATCATCACCCATATTGAATTGTTGAGATGAATTTCAATGAAGAATGAATCCGAAAATACAATGTTTCAAACAAAGTAAAAGAAAAATGAAACAAAAGATGTTTAGGAAACCAAAGATGATAACATCTTAATTCATTCATCAAAAAAAAAACTTTAAGCCGAGGTTTTTCATTTCATCTTCATCAGATGGAAAACAACGACAACAAGGGAAACAAAAAAAACTTGGGAATTAAATACCGCCTATGATTCTTGTTTTCCTTTCCAGAAACTTTTCCCGAAAACGAAAAAAATAATAATTCTTCATTTCAATTAAGACAGCAAACAAAAGATGATGATGATGATCGTGATCATCATGATGAAACCCGATTATAGGTTAGGTTTGTTTTTGTTTTTGTCTTAAACAGTCGATTCTATATGATAAAAAACAACAGCAGCATTCATATTCTCTTTGGTCTAATGGCAAAAAATAGAATCCATTTTTTTTTGTTGCTTCTGCTTTTGGGATTCTTTTCGTTGATCAAACAAACAAAAATGGAATGAATGAATGAATGAAATATTCCCTCATCTCACTAAACTTAACACTCTAAAAGAATCTTTAATCTTAATGAAAATGATGAAAATGAATGAATGAATGAATGAAAAACAAATGGAATTTTTTTTGTTTTTGTTTTTGAAACATAGACAATGAAGAATTCCAAATGTGAAACATTTGCAATCTTTGTTTATTTGTTGTTGTTGTTGCCCTAGTTTGTTGTTGTTGTTGTTGTTGTTTCATAAAAGTCATTTCAAAAGTTTTTTTTTCTTTTAGAACCCATTGATGATGATTGCTTGCCTCTGTGTTATATAAGGAAAATATACAAAAGGATTTTTTGTTGTTTTGGTTGTTCTATTTTAAATTGAATTTCTTTCTTTTTTTGCTGGATGTCATCATTATTAACATCATCAGCACCAAAGCATCTTAGTTTTAATAAATAAATAAATAATGTCAAACGTAATGAACAACAATGATGATGACAAAATGGAAATTCTGCATTAGAATTTCATTCTTGTTGTTGAATTCAGAACCCAAAACAACAACAAAAGAACCATATATTTTTTATATGAGAAGTTGACAAATTCTGAACCGAATCAAAAATGAAAAAATATTTTTTTGTTGTTGTTGTTTGAGTGTGAAAAAAATAATTGAATATTGAGGAGGGAGAGAAAAGCATTTTCATTTTTTTTTGTCAACGACAACAACAAATTGGCTTTTCAAAAGAAAAAATTCTTTAATTTATAAAATTTAATAAAATGAAATGTCGGGGGAGAGGAAAGGGGAAAAAATAACCCTTTCGGTTCTTGTTAAAGTTCTTACATTGACAACAACAACAACAACAATGTTAATGAATATAATGAATGCATACACGGAATGAAAGGAAAAAATGATGGAAAAAATTTTGAAAAGCTAATAAGTTCCGAGAAGGAAAGAAGTGGAAAAAAATCTAGGAAAATTTTAAATTAAAAATAATCCTCGAAAAAGAAAAATTTTGTAATGTGATGCATCGATTTTTTTTCTTTGCTTGCTTGCTTGCTTGTTTAAAAAAAATACTGCAACACTTTTTTTTTCACTATTAACTAAACTAAACTAAACTAACTAAATAACAGGGGAATTCTCAGCACAAGAATAATTCCCCCCCTGTTCCAATTGAAACAACAAAATCAAATTAAAAATTTCGTCGTTTTTCAATATAAAAAAAAGTACAGTGAAATGTGAAAGGCAAAGAAAAAGAAAAGTTTCTCAAGAAATTGACAGCTCAATTAAAAATCGACAACGACAAATTTGGGATCAATAAATAATGGAAAATAAAATAAAAAAAACTTTACATTTTAAAAAATCAAAAATTGATCTGATTTTTCAAAATTTCAATGATCAATGGTGGAAAAAAAAGTTTATCGGAATTTTGTTTCGGTAAGTACCAGCATAGAGATCATTTTGGGAAAAGTTCCGAAAACAAAACAAAAAAAAATTTCCCATAATGAAAAATTTCGGAAATTTTTTCATTTTTATTTCCAAACCACACACACACAGAAACGACAAAACATTTGAAATATTAGATGTTCGTAATTTATGGTTTTTTTTTTAAATGTAAAAGTCATTCATGTCAGAATAGCGCAACTGTGAATGGATCACATTAAAATCAAAGGGATTCTACCAAAAAAACAAAAAACGGAAATTCTGAATTTTTAACAACAAGAAGAAAAATTTGGAAACTTTTTCTTTGTTGCCGGAAATAATGAAAATAAATAACGGGAAAAAGAAAAAGAAAGAAAGAATAAAAAAACTTACATTGATTATGATTTCCATCACTATTTACGGACCATTTATTCTTATGACTTGTTTTTGTCATCATTTTCTTTGTCGTTGATGACAATGTTGTCGTTGTCGTCGTTGTTGTTGATGTTGGAACCATTACTGTTGCTGTAGTCGATGACATTATTGTATCATTATTATTATGATGATTATCATCAACATTTTTATTATCAACAACAACATCATGATGGGTAGATATAGTTGTCGTTGTCGTCGTTGTTGTTGTTGTTGTTGGTGTTTGAATATTGATGTTACCAATCGTTAATGATGATGATGATGATGATGATATTGAAATGGGTGTTGTTGTTGAATTGATATTTGGTTGAATCAATATTTGATTCAAGTTTGAATTTGGTAATAATGATGATGATGTTGTTGTTGTTGTTGATGATATTGATGGTGATGGTGGTAATATCGATGGTGATGGCAATAATATCGATTTATTATTTAAATCACTACTATTTCCGTTTATAATAATATCATGACCATTTACAATATCAACAATGACGACGTTGATGATGATGATGGTGATGGAAAAAATGTAAATATTTGATTTCATTTTGAAGGGAAATTCAGATTCGAAATGTAGCCAGAAAAAAAAATTCAAAAAATGTTTTTTGTTATATCCAAAAACTGTCTCTCGGCCACCAAAGAAACCCGATTACCGTTAATCTACATAATCTTTAAAATTGGAAAATTTTCCAATTGAAATCTAGAAGAAGAAGAAAAACAAATGCAAAAAAGGGGATTATTTTTTTCGATTAAAGAAATGCGACATAAAACATACAAACAGAAAATCTTAAAATATTCAACGAGAAAAATGACATTGTAAAAAAACATTTATCCTTTCAATCAAACAAATCAAATCAGAAACAAATCAAAATATTTATAAAAAAGTGTGGGTGTGTGTGAATGGGGAGAAGGCGAGAAAATATGGAAATTAAATCCAAATTAGGCTTTGTGTAGGGAGCAGAAAATCATTTCGAATCAAAAAATAGTCCCACCTTGTGCAAAAATGAAAAATGGAATAAGGATGGGCCCATTACAAACTTTAAAGAAAAACTTTTTTCTGTCATAAAATTTCTGGCTTTAAACAACAACAAAAATGAAAAATTGAATGAAAAAAAAAACAAATTTTACAGTTTGTAGGATGCTATAAACAAAACAAAAAGAACAGCCAGATAAATGATGTTTGGTGTGTGTGTTTCAATAGCAAACAAACAGGATGTTTCTGTGTATTTCAGCTACTTACCCCTTTTGTTGTTGTTGTTGCCTGATATGTATCTTTTTCTCTCGGTGATGATGATGACTTTTTATGGCAAAAATGGTTTTGCAAATTCAATTTGTTTTATTCAAAACACAAATAAACACACATACATTTCTTATTTTGAGCAAAAGATACATATTTGGAATACAGCAGACTTGATGATGATGGAACAACAGCTGAGACAGTTTGATTGAAAGTTGGCAAAAAAACAAACAAACAAACAAACAAATCACAATGGAAAATGCTGGAAGAATACACACTGTGTGTATTTTGATTCAAGTTTTGAGTTTTTCTTCTTTGTCTCTCTTTTCACCTAACAACAACAACGAGGATGTTCCAAGATTAAAGATAGCCACGGTACCATATCACAAAACTTTAAACAAAACAATAGCCCCAAAATACAATTGAATTTTCTTTTTTTCTGGATGCGGAAAATGTGAATGGGAAAAAAATTTTCTCATGTTTTTGTTGTTGTTGTTGTTGTTGGATGATGATCATCATCATAATCACAAAAGATGATTTTCTTCACTTTTTTCAATTTTCTTTTCACTTTTCATTCATTCATTCATTCAAAATGAATAATGTTTTCGGAAACTTTATTTACACCGACCGACCAAATTCACACACAAACACACAGGATGAACACAACAGCGAAAAAAAACCCAAAATTGAAAACAAAAACCGGCGTTCAAAAAAAAAAGTCAATAAATAATGTTGTTGGCTGTTTGTTTGGTTGTCGGTATTACCGATGTTGTTTATTCCCGCAAAATAACTGAAATGATAATAAATTCCCCATCATGATATCCGAGTCGAGTCGGGTAAATTCTGAATTTGTTTTCGGGTCCCGACCAAAAAAAAAACATTCGAATTCGATTTGCGCATGTTTTACAAGTGTATAATTTATAAATGATAGTAGTATTCAGATAAGATAAGGAAAAAAGTAGAAGAAGTGGTTGATAAATGTGTTGAGATATTTTTTTTTTTTAATCGAACAAAACATTATTGCCATCTATCGGAATGTTTGATTTACCTTTATTCAATTTTTTGTTGAAAATTTTAAAATTTCAATTTTTTAAAATAATTTTTTAATTTATTAAAAATGATCTTCATCATCATCATCAACACCACTACCACGACTATTAATACCTTTAGAAATTTTATCAAATATTCTTACCAATGAACCGGTTAAATTAGCTGTCCAATTATTTTTTTTTTGATTTAAATTTTGTTGATTTTTTGTTGTTAAACGAATACTATTATCATTATCATTATCATCATTTGGATTTGATTTTGATTTCATTGATATTTTTTCTATTGGTGATTTAAATGATTTTTGAAAATTATCAATTTTTTTATTTGTTTTACCATTAGATTCTTGTTGCTGTTTTTGTTGTTGCTGTTGTTGTTGTTTTTGATTATTTTTTCCAATGGATTCTTGTTGTTGTTGTTCTTGTTTTGGATTATTTTTTCCAATGGATTCTTGTTGTTGTTGTTGTTCTTGTTTTGGATCATTTGATTTTACAATCATTTTTTCTCCACCACTAATCAATCCAAGCATAAAACCACTAATAACTGGAAATCCACCACTATAACCATAAATTGGTAATGAATTTGATGTTGAAAATGATTCTTGTTGTTGTTGTTGATTATCTGATTTTGGTGTTGATGGTGCTGTTGATTTTGGTGGTGATATTGATTTCGGTACGAATGTTGGTGTTATCAGAATCTGTTTGATAACCAATGATTTTCTTGATGATGATTTTTCTTTTATTAATTGCATTTCTGGTTGTAATTTATTTATTTTTGGCCTGATTATAAATGTACTTAAATCATCATCATCTGTTATTTTTATTTCAAATGGTTCATCAACATTTCCACCAGTACCTTTAGCTATTGTTTTCACTTCAATTTCTTCTTTTTCTGTACCATCTTTTGATTCTTTTTTACTTGATTTATCTAATTTTTTACGATTTTTTTTCGATTTTTCTTTTTTATCACTCATTGATGATGATGCTGATTTTGAACCACGTTTTCTATTACGTCTACGGCGTTGTTTACTTTTTTCATTTAATTTTGAATTTTGATGTTGTTTATTATCATTTAATAATTGTTGAATTTTTTGTGCCAATTCTTTTGGTGTTTGATCACGGCTATTTTTTGAATCATAAATTGGTTTTCTTGGTGAAAATGTATCACTCAATGTTGTTGTTGTCAAAACTTTAGTACCACGTCTTTGTCGACTTTTTGATTTTGATTTTGATTTGGATTTGGATTTTGACCGTGCTGTTGATTGTTGTTGAAAATTACTTGATGTTGTTGTTTGATTATAAAAATTATTCATTGAATCAAATTGTTGTTGTTGTTGTTTTTCTTTCATTTTCATTTCAGCTGCTATTAATTGTACCATTGATTCATATAGTTCTGGTGAACAAAAATGTTTACTTGTTTGTTTATAAACAGGATAACCTTGTGGATGATTTTGCATCATACCAGGTATAAATGGTGGTGGTGGTGGTTGTGGTCGATATGGATTATATGGATTTAAAAAACCAGGTGGTGGTGGTGGTAATGTTGAAAATTCTGGTATTGGTGGTGGTGGCATAAATGGATTTTGATTTGGATATCCTTGTACAATTGGATAACCCGAATAACCATAAATTGGTACGTATTGTTGTTGTTGAAGTCTATCTATTCTACTTCCTGAACGTGATCTTCGTCGTTTTTTATCCTGATTATTTTGTGGTGGTACCATTAATATTTGATATTCAGGTTCTTGATTCGGTACTATTGAACATTGGCCACCCATATTTTGTTGATTTTTTTTTCTTCGAATAAGTTACAATTTTGAAATATAAAAAAAACGAAAAGAAAAACCACTATCGAATAATTTTCGAATCGTTTTTATAGTCAAAAAAATTTAATTAAATTAAAAAAAAGTAAAAATTTTTACAAAATTTAATTCACAAAAACTGAAAAAGAAAGTGATGGTCGTATGCCGAAAAAAAAACATTCGAACATTCGATCAAACTATCGCGATATTATCGATTGTTGCACCCAGAAAATTTTACTGCTACTACCATCTTTGAATGAAAAACCAAAAAAAAGTTGATGATGATGTTTACATTATTTTTAGTTACTGCAGTTTGTTGTTTACGAAAAACGATTTGACATTGATAATTTCATAATATCCATTTTGTACTTTATAGAAGCAAAACGAGCAACAGAAAGAAGAACGAAAAACGAAACAAACAAACAAAATTCCTTTGAATTTGAATGTGACATTTCTATTCATTTTCTGCATTTATCAGACGACAGCTGATCAGGTGATAATCAAAATTTCTTTTCACATATATTCGCTGTTGCTCGCTTTGAACAACCAAAACATCATCTTAAAATCATTCGGTTATAACCATTTTTTTCTCAAGGCGTTTTCATTATTATCATTTTGTTCGATTTGATTTGATTTAAAGATCACGTTCAAATCATCATCACAGTATCTTTTAATCAGTTTTTTTCATTCATTCAGTGGAAATTTCCGAAATTTTTTCTTGTCCTTCGAAAAATTATTGTTGAAAATCAATCCGCAATTATGAGCTCATCCGATGTTGTTCGTGTTTTAATTACCGGTTTGTTTTTGTTTTTGTTTCTAATTTTTGTTCGGTAATTTTCTAATTTTTTTTTCGTTTCCGAAATAACAGGTGCAGCCGGACAAATCGGTTATAGTTTAATACCGATTGTAGCACGTGGTGATGTATTTGGCCGTCAACAATCAATTGTTTTACATTTATTAGATATACCACCAATGAAAACAGTATTGGATGGTGTTGTAATGGAAATAAATGATTGTTCATTTCCATTAGTACAATCGGTTATTGCTACCACTGATGAAGCTGAAGCATTTAAAAATATTGATGCTGCATTTTTAGTTGGTTCAATGCCACGTCGTGAAGGAATGGAACGTAAAGATTTATTAGCTGCTAATGTAAAAATATTTGCATCACAAGGACGTGCATTGGCTAATCATTCAAAACCAGATGTAAAAGTATTGGTTGTTGGTAATCCGGCCAATACAAATGCATTGATAGCGGCAAAATTTGCATCGCCAAAAATTCCTGCACGTAATATAACAGCAATGACACGTTTGGATCAAAATCGTGCACAATATCAATTGGCTGCTCGTCATAGTTGTCAAGTTTCCAAAATTCAACGTGTTATTATCTGGGGTAATCATTCATCAACACAATTTCCCGATATAAGTAATGCAACATTAGATGGACAACCAATAAAATTTGATGGTCATGATGAAAAATTTATTCAAACCATTCAGAAACGTGGTGCTGCTGTTATTGCTGCCCGAAAATTATCATCAGCAATGTCAGCTGCAAAAGCAGCTGCTGATCATATGCATGATTGGTGGAATGGTTCGAATGGTAATTGGGTATCAATGGGTATTATATCCGATGGTAATCCATATGGTATTGCTGATGGTATAATGTTTAGTTTCCCAGTTGAATGTCAAGGACGTGATTGGAAAATCATACCAAATCTTCAATGGGATGATATTGCTAAACAACGAATTCAAACAACAGCCGATGAATTATTGGCTGAAAAACAAGAAGCATTAGCTGAAACGGAAAATGCCTGATCATCATCCTGATTATGGTTGATTCGAAAAGTCAAAATGAAATGAAAAAAGTTAATTTTAGACCAAAATTTCCAAAAAACAAAGCCACAAACAAACAATCTGTTGATTTAATTTTTTCCTTTTTTAAAATGGTTATCACAAAAACAAAACAGAATTTTATTTTTTTTTTCTTGTTAAATTTTATTTTTCCATTTAACCCATCTCTCCCCTCGTTGATGAATAAAAAGAATTCTATTTAACCGATTTCTTCAATCAGTGGTTTTAATCCTTTTTGTTGTTGATGATCGTCGTCGTCGTCATTATCATTGATTATCTGATTATGAATTTGCTCGATTTCTTGTCGTAATTTTTCCCGGTGAAATTCCAATGCATCCAACCAATGTTGTCGTTGAATTTCTCGACCCATTTCTATAGCGAAGCTTATATAGAAACGGATTTTTTGTTGTAATAATTTCAATTGTTTGTGGTGATGATGATTTGATTTTTGATCGGAACGTTTTACTTTGGATCGAACATTATCAATAATACGATATAAATCACTTAATATTAATAAAATTGCTTTTGGTGATTGATGATTAATTTCATCAGTGGTAGTTTTGATTAATAATCGACGACCTGGTTGATTCCAATCCAGAATAATTTGAAGATCATCCATTATTTCAATGATAATCTCTTTCCGTTGATTAATATTGTTCAAAAGATCATTATTATTTTGTTGTTCATCACAATCGATTGTTAACATTCGATTTATTAATAATTCGATTGTATCGAACGGTTTTTCCGTTTGTATCGATCGATTTGGTTGTAATTCCGGAACAATATGATAAAGTTTATCGATAATTAACCATTGATCACCATCATTATCAATGATTAATTCACCATTATATGATCGATATAGATAACAATATGCAAAACAAACTGAAACAATTGAATGTATTAATAATGGTGATGCAGTTTTTTGTGATAATAATTTTGAAATTGGTTCAATTTTTTGATCATCAATTAATTTCGGGTATGTTTTTTCGGCTAAATCAATTTCATTATCAATATCTTCAACAATTGTTTGCCATTCTTTTTGTAACCACCATGGTTGACATTTAGGTATTATTCGATTAAAATAATCGGGATTTGTTTCGATAATTTCAATAAATTCTTTACGATCTGATTCGGTTAATTGATCTGTCCAAATGGATTCTAAATCAACATTATCATCTAAACAAATGGACATTATACGTTCCATAAATTGATGCATTCGATCATCATTGATCCAATCAAGATCAATTTCTTCTACTTCATCGTCGTCATTATCATCATCATCTGATGTTTTCAACATATCAACATAATCAGCAGAATTTTGATTTCGTCGTAAAATTTCCATAAATTTTTCTTTATCATTCGAATAATGATCATTTTTTAATTGTTCCAATACCATACGTTTATAAAATTGTTCCGAACAATCTTGATGTGTTTGTGAACGAAAACAATCAATTGAACAATATGGTCGATGACATTGGGAACATTCATAACGACCATTTTGATTGGAACAGCTATTCAAATTTTGAAAAAAAGATTATTATTTTGAAGGAAAAAACTTTCATTCAGAATACATACAAATGACAACATCGATTCCTTGAGGCAATCGACGTGAAGCGTTTTGGTTTTTTCGTTCTCGGTTTATGATTGAAAATATTAAGATTAAGATTCATTCTGGTGAATAATTCTTTGGATTTCAAAAAAAAAAAAAAAAAATCTGTGCAAAAAAAAAACAAAAACATGAACCACGATGGTTTTCGGATCTGTTTATTTACACATCCATCTAGTGATGATCAAAAGAACTACAGTTTTAAATCAGAAACGCTTTTTTTCTCATTAATTTTTTCTCATCCATTATTGATTGAAACTATTTTTTTTAATTTTATTTTTTTATTTTACATCATTTTGGATCAATTAACAGACTTTTGCAAAAAAAAAAAACGAAAACTTATACAAAAATGAGCCCGGCTAACCGAAAATTACCAAAAGAAATAATCAAGAAACAAAAGAAGATTTGGGGTCTTCTGTTTTCATCCATCATAAATTCTGTGATTTTTTGTCCAGGTCTCCATAGTTCATTTGAAATTTCTATAATAGTAATGAATAATAAAAAGATAGGTTTAATGAAATTGATTTCAATTCAATTCAATTCAATTTATTGAAAAACGTTTATCCGAAATTTCGGATATTCACGTCGAATAAAAAATTTAAAATTAATTTTAAAATTTACAATGAAAGTGTGTGTTGCCTTGGTATAGATAGATGTGTGTAAATATGTTTACAAAGTAATTTGAATTTTGTGTATGTCTGTTTAAATGAAATTGATTTGAATATGAAACACAGATTTACCTGAAAGTTCAAGTTTCCACAAATTGCTCGTTCCAAAAGTTTCACCATCAATGAATTTCTTTGCTTCAAAAAATAGGCCTTTTTCGAATAACATGGATCGAACAATATTTTTATTCAGATGGTGTGGCTCAACATTTACACCTTTATCCGAAATGAGAAAATTCAAGCATCAATTTAAAGTAAATTATATTTGATTTAACAAACCATTTGAACATTCAAGTGCTTGATTGTTGGTTGATTCAACATCAAGTTACGCAAAATTTCCAAATAGTGCTCGGCGAAATGCACTTTTGGGAGTAAGAATTTCGAATTGCCGGTATTGCTGAAATCATTAATTTCAAATAGATAAAGTTTTATTTAAGGAATGTCAAATTATATGCATACTTTTGACAGCTCTGCCAAATCATTATCGAATCCGTCCAGATCAAATGATGTGGGGGAGAAGACTTTAAATATGATCCGCCGTACGATCAAATAAAGTTGTGGCGGATTTTCCACCCAGGTTGGAAACATTTCCAACATTCTTACCAAAAATTCAAATTTCTGTAAATTAAAATCTCAATGAAAATTATATTCTATGTAAAAGAATTTGTATAACACATACTTGGGAACCTTTCCCTTTTAAGCTGAGATCTTTTTTTATTTTGATCTCACCGTTAATCCATTTAATTGAATTAATTCTATTCAATACAATTGAATTGGAATTAATTTCTTGTTTAAGTAGATGACATGCGATTTTAGGGAAAAACCCTTCACTTCCGTCGTGGAAGATGTCGGGTGGGGAAATTTGAAAGATATTAAGATCAAGATTCGATAAGCATGATCTGGAAGTTATTCCAAATTTACATGAATATCTCGTTGAGCTCATCACCAATTTGAGCTCGTCCTCGTAAAATCTTTGATAAATTATATAGGTTATTAAGGATAAGAATAATTATATAATTAAAATTCATACTGTTTTGATCGATAAATATTCAATGATCTGGTTTCATAGATACCAGTTTTCAATTCATTGTTTGTTAATCCACAATATCTTCGAAGAAATTTTCATAAAATTACTCAAAGTCAAGAATTTATTCAAACAATTTAATTACCGACAAATGAAGCCACTGGAAAACGTTCGTTTCATCCCGAGCATTTCGCACACTCCAAGATTATCTCCAAGGAGAAATGCCAGTCGAACTTCTAGTTTAATTTCAACACCTTTGTGTATCATCGTCAATCCATTCTCCTAATAAAAAAAAAGTTTTAAAAAAACTTTAATAATGTCAAAATACTTGCCATTAGTTTTTTAAGGTCTCTTCGGACCGGACCAAAAACTTGATGCAAATCTTTAACTTTACTTCGGTCACATAATACAACCAAAGGCATTTTGTTGGCCTTGGTGCAGAATCGGGTGGAGTCCACATCCATGTATAGAGCGAACATTTTGTGTTCTGCGGCCCCGATGGGGT